GTCACTTGTTTATTTTTACATACATATGACTCAATTCTTATGCATTTACATATCTTAATAGTTAAATTTCAAGTTTTGAGATATGTGCCACTTTTCCTGTGCAAGAAAAGATGTGTTTCACTTTTATGATGTGATATTAAGGCGAGGATGCAGACTAATGCTCCGTTAGTGACCTCTTCAACGGACATGTCCGGCGAATTCACCCCATTCCGGAGATGGTGGGCCGCGGTTGCATCGGGGCTTCCCCGGATGGATGGCTGGGGACCCTCGACCTCAAACTTAATCCCCACGTGTTGAACCCCCTTAGTCGAGAAGAGCTCCCTCCGCCTTCCCTCTTCTCCCTCTTCCCCTCTCCCGCTAAAGTTTGTGTTCTTCATGATGTCTCTGATGGCTCCGTGACAGGTTTCTTTGACCAAGGAGCTCACATTACAGGAAGTTGGCATACAAAGAAGGAGTTTCGTGACTTATACATCATAAAGATAGTCTTGACTTCCGCCCCGCCTTCTGGTTTTTCAGTGGTCATCTATTGTTGTAAATCGTTTGAAGAGTCATCTAGCTTTAGCGAGAGTAGGGGACGCACCATTCAGATATGTGTAGTATTCACGGTATCAGACACGATAATGCAAACTATTGCATGAATGAGATCTATTTGGTTTCATTTTTCGAAAATTAGAACACGCTGCTTTCAGAACCAAAAATATATATCTCTTATATTTAAATTAAATTTAAAAATTATTTTCCTTTTTTTTTTCAAATTTTGACCGACAAAGATATAGTTGGGTAACTCCCATGACACAAAAATTAGAAGTTCTAACTCATTTTATAAAATTTAAACAAGTGGAGAAAAAAATTAACATATTTATAAAATACCTAAGTTTTGATTGCAATGGTGAATATAGGAACAACTAATCTAACATGGTATCATTCACCAATTTTCATCACCCTACCCCAGAACAAAACGGTCTAGCTGAAAGGAAACATCGCCACATCCTTGAAACCATCAAAGCACTCACAATCACATCCAACCTACCACTCAAATTCTGGTCTGATACAATCCTCACAAAAGTGTGCCTAATTAACTGCATTCCTTCACCCAACACCCTCCATCAATCCCATAACAATTTATGGATGATTTTTCTGTATTTAGAACTTCGTTTGAATTATGGTTAAATAATTTAGAAAAAATTCTGGAAGTATGTGAAAGAATCAACCTAGTACTAAATTAGAAAAAATGTCAATTTATGGTTGCAAGAGGAATTGTACTTGGGCATAAAATTTCTGAAAATGCCATGGAAGTAGACCTTGCAAAAATTCAAGTTATTGAAAAATTACCACCTCCTACAAATGTTAAAGGGGTAAGAAGTTTTCTCCGACATGCTAGTTTCTACAAACGCTGCATAATTTTTTTTTCAAAAATAATTAAGTCATTATGCCAACTTTTAGAAAAAGATACGAAATTTGATTTTAACAAGGAATGCATAAAAGCATTTGAATTATTGAAAAAAAATTAATCATTGCACCAATAAAAGTTCCACCTGATTGGGAGAAACCATTTGAAATAATGTGTGATGCTATTAGTCCTCAAGTGAAGAAACAAACAACAATGTCTAGGCAAATTTATAGCTTTCTCTTGGAACCAGAGTTCAATGCATTGAAACTGAGTTGAAAGGTGTGGGATTTTTGGGAGGTCCATAACTCACAACCTGTAGAATTTTGACAAACAGAGAGAAGGAGATTGTCAGATAGCTCCAAACAACCCATGACATTTTTTTTCTTGATCGCCACACCTGAGTACCCTTTCACTAGTAGTACAATTTAGAAAAAATATTAGTAAATGAGACAAATTTAGAGTTTAGAAAATTTTAATGTTAAAAAATATGAAAATATGAGTTTCTATCTAATTCAGAAATATTGTAAATTCTTCAAATATAGAGTTTAGGTATTTTATCATCTCCACTTAAAAATTTTTATTGAGCATAAATTTACTTACTATATTATATTCTTAAGCTTAAGAGTTTCTCAAGTTTTATACTTCAGAAATATCTAATGTGGAACCAATTTTTTATCAGACACTAATCCTCAAGCTTCTCCTCGGTTTGCTTTATATTTTACAGCATTTATTTTTCCTTTTTCTACCTGCTGTTGTTCTTCCTGTATAACATATTTTCCTGTTTCTACCTGTTGTTCCTCCTGCAAAACATGTCATATTACTTCTGTTTCTACCTGTTACTGTTCTTCCTGTATAGCATATTTTCCTGTTTCTACCTGTCGTTCTTCAT